TCCTAACAGCCGGAAAACAGAATGTGGCTTCAGTGTTGGTGATAGGAAAAGTACACTTTTGGAGAAGTCATGCTTGTCTGCGTGGAAAGTGCTACTTTTTGTAACACATTTCATTGATCTTAGCTGGTGCCACAGGATAATGTTCGAAAACTTGGACATTGCAAAAGTCACTTCAGTGAATTGGTGCTCTTTCTGCAGTGAGGTGTGCCAGTTTTGGCTAGAAAATGAGTAGGAGAAGTCAGGTGGACCTGGTGTCAAGGTAGAAATCGACGAAACAGTTATCTCAAAATGAAAATATAACCGGGGACATCAATTGAAAATGGTCTGGCTATTTGGCGGAATCGAAAGAGTCTCAAAGAAGACATTTCTGGTACCACTTATGTCTGATTGAAAAGAAGAAGCCAGGGATGCCCATACACTTGTCCCCTTGATTATGCGACACATCCAACCAGGATCAATCATTTACAGTGATTGCTGGTCGGCGTATGTGCGGATACCAGAACACGGATACATATGTGTATCCGTGTTCCAGTATCCAAGTGTATTTTGCCTTTTGGAATATATTCCAAATGACAGATGACTTTAGCTTAGAAAACCTATAAGAGTATTTACTGTGGTGGCTTCTTGAAAATGGTCATTAACTTTAATCCGATTATATACAGATTCCAGATCAATCTTAGCAAAGAATTTCACCATGAATCCTTAAATCTCCATTGGCTTTGCATATGGTCATGATTGGAGAAGTCCATTGCTACCTTCCTGTCTGACCTTCTCCAATATTCCTTGTTTAATCATTTTATTAAGTTTCACCATAACCATGGGCAGAAGGTGAACTGTAATGTTACAAGGTTGAATATATACCAGTTGGCTATTCTCTTTGAGCCAAACACTTGCCTTGTAATCCTTTAAAATTCCAATCACAGATCCTTCTAATTTCATGTAATTAACTTTGAGGTGTCTATTCTTAATAAGTCAAACCCCAGGAGACCATGATCTTTTATGCACTCCACAACTAGGATTGGTATTACCTCGAATTGAGTCTTCATCTCGAACACCTATCAAAACATCCAAGTGTTTTAATAACTGACCCATCAAAATGATTCAATTGCAGATAGTTCCTCCTTAATTTTGGTCTTCCCATTTTCTTCCCAAAAATCTTGGAAATTAGATCTAGATTACTACCCATATCCACTTGCATTACTACAGTTTATTTTTACCCTTTCTTTATTCTTATCTGATGCTTTTACTTCATAAATTTCAGTGTTTCTCATCGGAGGATCTATCTTCTCCACTTCTACTGGTTTTATATATTTGCATACTGACTGAAAATGGTTTTTCTTCTTGCACTTAAAACATCTTTCCAAAAGCCAGGCATTTATACTTGTTAATCTCAGGTTCTTTATTGTAAAAATGACATTTACATAAATTCTCTGTAGTACTGCATATCTCCATGTTAGGCTTAGGGGTATTAAATCTCTGAATTAACTCTAGGACTGATGAGCATAGAATTACATTCATCCTGTACATGTGATGTTCTCACGTAGAAGTCTTGTTTGTGCTCTGCTTGTAATGATCCAGTGTTTGGCTTGTTTAGTGTTTGATTTTGGTGTGCTGCTGATTTTTCCATCCCCCTTCATTGGCAGATACCCAACAAATAAGAGAATCTTTTAGAAAATTTGGTATGGAAATATTTTGTGCTGATAACCAGTCAAGAAGTGTAGATATTCATTTTTTACAAGAAATGTCTATCCAATCCAAGAATGATAAGAAGAATAGGTTGTATGTTGAATTATGTACATATAGCTATGTTATATCACAGGCTCCGGAGCAAAACTTTGGGTAGTTTTATAAAGGAAAACTGGAATACTTTACAGGACATCATGGATCCCTCTATTCCTGTGCATATGAATATAAATTTTAAGTATATGCTGGTGAAAAAAAAACCCAGTATCTATTAATAGCATTGAGGAGTTGAAAGTGGTCAATTCAGCCACACTTATCATGGTCCGTTTGTGCGGTTATATTTGGGATGCCAATCTATATACATTATGAACAAAGATCTTTGTTTAGGTCAGAAACATTTAAGCAATTTTTGCATGGCAAAGGGATTCTTACTAGCTATAAGTTGTAATCCCTCGGGAAATGGACAAGTGGAAAGCAGTGGAGTAAAACTAAACAGATTTTACTATCCATGTGGGAAACTATACTGCCTGATACACTATATTCTATAAGAGCCTTTCTTTGTACAATTATAAACTGTATACCACATGAAAGTGTGTTCATATGAGAATATGTTTATTTATCAATAGAGATTGAGTCTGGGGCCAACTGTACCCAACTGATTGACCTATTCAAGGAGAGTAATATTGAGAAGAAATGTTCAAGAAGGAGAGTGATCAAAGTGTAACTGGTCCCAAATATACCAATATACAGATGCCAAAAAATTTCACTCAAGAATCTGACATCCATACCTGAAGAACAGGAATTAACTGGAAAATTCAAGAACACCCATAAGAACACTGTTGAATAAGCTGAAGGATAACTCTCACAGAAAATTTACTTTCACTAGTACTTTCACTTATAAAGAGTTTAATATAAAAAGCAATGTACATATACATATATTTTAACTTACTTCCCTTACCAATCCAATTTTAAGAAATCACCAGGATACAGCCAGAACATGTGCTGCTGTATAAATTATGAAAACACAGCACAGTATTGTAACTGCTGTCAGTATAATCTTATAGTTAAAAGTATTTATGCACTGTCAGACCAACATCTGTGTTAGAAGTTGTAAATTGCCAATGAATTAGTAACTTGATTGTCTTTGCTTCATTACAGGAATGCATTTGAAAACTTTTGGAAGTTTGCACTGAACTCATTTTTGTTAGAACTAGTGTTAAAGTTCTTTTTTGAAATTACAGGCAAACAACTTCTAGTTCAAGCATAAAAAACACAATATTAAATTTACAAGAATTTGCAGAATTACTGTAGCAGTGGTTTATCAGGGAGATTATGAAAGTTGGTATGTATGCTCATTTGAATGGATTATGGTACAAAGCCATGTTTAAAGTTAATAACAAAAACTGACTAATTCCCTTGGAAGTTCCATACAGAATAACTTTCTTCAAAGTAGCCAAACAATGGAGTTATGTAGAAGAAGCTGAAATTGTGTATTCAAAGTTTTAACCTAATCTAAGAGAAAGGGGCACCTCAAAGTGGTGTAATTGTTAACAATCTTGTCTTGCTAGAACAATTATGACTGAGTACTAAGGTTGATCCTCACTAGGTGCCCCATACCTTTAGTCTTGTGCCACATCAAATCTTTACTTACTGATCAGCATGATCTAAAAGAAAGAGATAGCATTGTAGCAAACTGAAGGTAAGTGGATTCCTTCTGCACAAGCATTTTGTTGCATTCCTGATGCTAGATAAATGTTGAATCACTTGAAGTGAGAGACTTGATTTTGAAATAATAAAAAAGGCTGATTTTAGCTATGTTTACAAATATCTAGCACAGTTTCTTTTTATGAAAAAAAAAACTTTCAAAAATATACTTTTCTGAAAATTAGTCTGATTTGAAACAAATAATACTTTTAGTTTGAAATGTTGCAGAAAGCATTTTTAACATGGAGGCGGATGTTTTTTTGAGGTGTTGACATCTATTTTGATAGACTTATGTTTGGAAATTTTTTTCCATGGAATATATATCTGTAAAAATTAACTGAATATAATGATTTGTGCACAATTTTTTAACTGCCCAGTATTCATTAAAATTTAGGAAAATATTCTGAGTAATCTAAAATTTTATTGAATTTTAGTTACTTGGCTTTAAATTTACTACTATGGTTATTTTCTGGTAACTTTGTATATGAATGTCTATATTTAGAAAAATTGGCATTTATACCCACAAAAAAAAAAAAAAAAAAAGTCAAGATTCTTTTTAAAATACTAAGGGTCACTGAATTGCACTAAGACATTACCTTTATGCTTAGTAAATATTGTTTTTACTTAATAACAATATCACCTAACTGCCACAGATTCATACAAGATTTTAAAATGTTTAAAATTTATAAATTATTATGATTAAAATTTAAAAGAAAAATGAAAACAATTCTTGTAAAAATTCATTATTCATCTAAAAGACATTTTTTAATACAACAGTGTCCATAATATATCTTATTCATAAAAGCAAATAAAAGTGTTTATAAGGTCTTAGTTTTATTGCATTTTTAAAAAATTTTTTTACAATTCAAAGCAGATTTTCAGATTTTCTATGACTGGAAGTCCTGTTGTTTTTTTTTGTTTTTTTTAAATTGATAATTTTCCAAGGAAGTGTGCTTTTAACTAATATAAACATTAAGCCCTACAAAAATGCATTTCTTGAGATTTCATAAAATTAAAGTGAGTGGGGGAGGGTAACAGATAATACTTTTTAATTAAAAAAATTAACCAAAATTTTAAACATTCTAAAAAGAAATATAATTTAATAATAAACAAATCCTATGATTTTTCCATTTGATAATAGCAAAAATTTTAATGATAAACCTAAGTTTGATGCATTTTTTTTTAATTATATATCATTCCTTTTTAGTGAATCTTTGGAGATATCTATATATATTACTAATATAAAGAATTCAGGAAAATATTGCCAACATTAGTTGGTTAATATCAATTTTAATGTGGAAACATCAAGATTTATAATGAAATCTAAGAATGTAGATTGTAATCACCTGGGTATATGAGCAGTAGTATAATTTCATCTGCCTAATTGAAATGAACTGATTTAATTGGTATGTTATTGAACATTTTCTGTCCACAGAAAAGAATTAGGAATTTTTTGTATTATGGATCATAACCCTGAAATGTAATAACATGAAAAAATTCAGTTATCAGAACAAAAATTTTGGTAGTTAATGACTTTATCAAAATTAGAGAACGTTAAATTATGTTTGTAACCTTATGAAGCATCACATTCAGTGATCAATTTGAGAACTTACCTTCAATGACATTGATGGTGACTGACCAAAGACCCCAGAATTTTACTTTACTTTTGCTTTCAGCTTTGAATCGATCCCATTGCTAAAATTAAATAGAAATTAATTTTTATAAATAGAATTTAAAAAAACATTTTTTTTTATTCAAATCACACAAGAAATATCTGTTACCTGCTTTTGTTGTTTCCACCAAGACCTGAATCCAGTTTTCTTATCTTCTCTTTCAATGAATTCCCTAAAACAAACAAAAAAAATTTGAAAGAAATGAAGAAAGAATTTTTTTTTTATCGTTATGATTATACAATTACAGATATTTTCTCATTTGAATGGCAGTTGCAAGTTTCAGCATGATATTCATCGAAACATTAAGACATAATTACCAATTAGTAGACATATTAATTCAAAATTTAAATAAAACAGCTCATCTCAAGTTGAAATACTGCTCAAATTTAAAATTGTTAATTTCTCAATTTGGGAAAAATCTTCTAATCTCTCCTGTAAATCACTGTTGTAATACAACCTTGTGAGCAGCTGGGTGTTCTCTGGGGTAAGACATTCATGCTGTTTATTGAGTAAATTTTTATACTAAGAAAATGAATGTTATGCTGGTAACAGACATCTATATGACCTTATTGGCAATCTGTTCCAGAAAAGGACATCTGCTCTTATTTGCATTCCAAAATTTAAATTTCTTTTACATGGTGAAGTACTGAAGATGATGCAATTATTAATCTAGGAGAATCATTGTGTGATGGTAAGCTTCAGTGTAGACAAGCCTATCAAGCTTAGAATGGTGTTTTTGGAAACAAATTTTTTCTTCATTTCTAAATTGTATGACAGACACATGATAGCATTTATTTTTCTTTCATATACATAACACAAGATTACAAGTTGTCTTACAAAACTAGCCCATTCTTTTCCTTATTTATGGACATTATCAAATGGCCATATGGTATAAAGAAATTTTTAAGGATTTTAATATTAATTTTAAATGTAAAATTTATATAAAACTATCCACTCCAAAAAAGAAAAAAAATGTTAAAAAAACAAAAAAACAAATTCAAGTTTATCCAAATTATTACTAAAGGGAAAAGATGAACCCAACAGATTTTGAGAAATATGTAATAACTGAAAGATTATTATCAACTGCTCATTTGTTCATCATACAAATGATCAGTTGAGTGTAAAATTTATGATTTGTCAGTGTGTGGAGTTAGTTTTTTGCTATTTCAAGTGAAACTGTGACTGGCTATAAGAAATAAGAGAATGAAAGCAGTTATAACAAAGAAAAATGGTAAGTTATATGTGGAGAATTACCTCAGAGAACCAAGAGGACTAGAGTAGCATAGCCTAAATGTGCAAGTGAATTGCTAGCAAGGTAGACCATCTGAGCATTGATGCTGGAATGATGAGGTGCATGCGTCAGTGAGTCAGAACAAGGCTGGCAGCGTGCACAATATACAAATTCTCTGGCTTGGCAAGAACATATAAAAAGGACAAGTTTTTTTTGACTCGGGAGAACAAGCTTGTGTGTTCAGCATAGTCCATGCCACTGCATACTGAACCAGAATTCATTACAAGGGTGTTTCCAGTGTCTGTGCTACAGAATCCCTGATTTCCTGTTCCAAGCTGTTTTGGCACCATTACTATGGCAAAGGTGCACATAAGCAGGGACATAAAGCCATTTACTGGCAAAGAAGATGTAGTAGCATGGTTGAAAAAAAAGTGAGGCTGGTGGCAAGACTTCAGCTGGTCAATGATGTCACACATCTGCTGCCATTGTATCTGGACATCGATACACAAGCCCTCTACATGGAGATGGATGGAGACGACAAAAGGGATTTAGATAAAATAGTAGTCTGGTTGAAAGAGGCATTTTCTGATGATGCATTCACAGCCTACAGGAAGGCTGAGCCAGATCGGGAGGACTGGTGAGCAGGTAGACATTTACATGAACAGGATTAGGCAGTTGGCTGGTTTGGCCGGGTTCAAGGGAGTTGGGCTGGAAAGGTTCACCAAACTGACTTTCATCACAGGGTTCCCTGATGCCATCTCCATTGAACTTCAACAGGCACCAAACATTGACACCCTAGCTATGGCAGACTTCATAGCAAAAGCATTATTCCTGATGATGGCTGGAAACCATAGTCAAGATGTGGTTACAACCATGTGCCTACCTCACAGTAATACTGTAATTCCTACTAAGAGTGGTCCCAGCATCAGTTTAACCTGCTATAGATGCAGCAGCAAGGGTCACACAGCAAAGGACTGCAAAAAGCATGGAACATGTTACTATTGATGCAGTGATGTTGGTCACTGGACTTGGGACAGTCCGGGAAATGAGCCAAGGAATGAGGCATCAGCACCAGCCTTTCCCCGACCAAGATGTAAATGCGGCAGTCCCAGAGATGGGCATTTATTTTGTTTGGTGCTAATTGACACTGGTTGGTCACAGTCAATAGTAGATGCAGATCAGTACTGATCCTGGAGGCAGGAAAAGGTGGGCATGTCCGGTTGATTGCAGGTACATCCAATATGTGTTGCAGTGTTGGAGTGCTCACTATATCCATGAACAAAGGCGATTCTGTCAAGGTTTATGTTCTTGTGGCACATGGCAAACTACTGGGTTTTGACCTGCTGTTAGGGATCAATGTGATAAAAGCATTGGGAGGTGTTGTTGCTGAGCCAACAGGATCAGCACAGATTGACAATGGGAAAGTCAGTATGTGCACAGCAATTTCCATCAATGAACCTGATTTCACCACCACCTTTTGACCAGAGCTGAACATGGACTGCAGTATGGAAGTGGCCAGAAGGACTGAAAAATTGAGTGTCCAAGTACCCGGTAGCTGCAGAGATCCAAGATGACTATTAGTTAATGCATAATGGATGGCTTGTGCCATACCTGGAAGAAAGGCTGGGGTCTCGCAAAGAGTTAATTTTAGATTGCAGCAGAATAAAAAAAATATGCGTCCTGTGATGGACTACCAAGAGTTCAACCATCACATTGATGCATTCACTGTCATGATAACGCAGATGTCTGTGCAGCTAAGATACATGAATGGCAGCAGAATGGTTTGAATGTATCTCTAAGTACATATACATAAGACTGTGGCGATTTCAGACCATAAAGATTCATGGGAAATGGTATTGCCTGACACATTTGGGGTTTGGTTTAAATGTAGCCCTCATTATCATGAAAGCCATTGTCAGCACAGTGATGTGGCAGGAAGAAGATATTGACCACATAGCATCAGCTTACATTGATGACATCTATGTCAATGAAGGTGTCATGCCTGTGATCCGTACCAGAGAACACTTGGCTCAATTTGCACTGGAATACAATGATCCAGAAAGGATAGAGGATGGTGCATGAGTGTTGGGATTGACCACTGTGAAGGAATGCAGTGAATTGCAGTGGAAATGAAGAAGTGTGGTCCCAGAAGCTCCAGACGTCATTACATGATGGACCATATTCTACCTGTGTGCGAGGTTTGTCAGGCACCTCCTGGTGTGTGAGTGGCTTTGTGTGGCTTGTGGAGAGCCAGTATGGTCACGAAGGGCTGGGATGTTGAAGTGAAGGACACCCTCCTCCAACATATGATGTTTGAGATCGTGGATGGAGTGAGGCAGAATGATCCGGCCTGTGGGGATTGGTGTGTGGACAGTCGGGAGCTGAATGTGTGGGTCGACGCAAGCTCTTTAGCAATTAGCGTGATATTGGAGAGGCACAGGAGTGAGCTGTACGATCTGACTGTGGACGTGATGTTGGTTACATCAACTGAAAACATAGCCGACCGACAGACCAGAGTGCTACAATGGTGGTTTAACATGATGGAGAAAGAGAATGGATGCAGGCCATTGATCAGTGCTGTCCACTTGGATGAGCTGGACACAAGTCAAATCCTGTCAATCCACAGGAGTAGTGGGCATCCAGGAGTATGGTGCACTACTTATCTTGTCAGGAGAGCTTGCCCAGCAATAACAAAAGCAGCAGTTAAGTCAGCCATACAGGAGTGCAAAGAATGCCAACCAATAGACCCAGCACCAGTTTGCTGGAAGAAGATAAAGCTGGAGGTGAATAGGAATTGGCAGAGGTTAGGAATGGACCTAACACATTACAGTTCACACCATTTCTTAATCTCACAGACTGCGGACTGTTGCATTTCTCCATTTGGAAGCAGTTGGCAAAGCAAGACTCAGTAAGTGTGATTCAGCAGCTGGAGGTGGTGTTCTTTGAGCATGGCCAACCATATGAGCTCCTTATGGACAATGAGACAGCCTTTTGCAGCAGAGAGTTCAGAACTTTTGCACAGGAGTGGGGAATAAGTCTATGATTCTGTTGTGCATATGCTGCAGCCAGGATGCACTGTTCTATCCAGGAGGTTGTCTATGGGCACAATGTGACCCCAAACGATGACCACTCACACTGCACTGGCCAATGTGATTTACCGATATGAAGTTCAGGTGACGGAGGTTGATGCCATGACAATGCCCTCAATTCGTGGGCATAGCCCTTACTAGGTCAGAGATCGTGTGTGGTTCAAGACTCTGCAGAGTCAGTGTACCACAAGGTTTGATAGGGGTCAGGTAATGAAGATAATTAGCCCGCATTCCTGTCTAGTGAATGGAATGTCCTGCCACATGAAAGACATGCACCCACATCGCAGTGATAGCACCTCAGAGGAAGACTGACAGTACAACATCTTCAGAAAGCAAGTTGGAGAGTCTATTATATGACAACAGAGATTTGGAGTCTGACAGTTCACCTGAAAAGGAAGCAGAACCACCCTCCCTGCCATTGTGAAGAAGCACCCAGTAAAGAGGATCACCACCAAACTGCTGCTTTTGTGATTTGGAAATCGGGGGGAGTGTGGAGAATTATCTCGGAGGTCTAAGAGGGCTAGAGTAGCATAGCCTAAATATGCAAGTGAATTGCTAGCAAGGCAAACCGTCCAAGCATTGGCACTGGAATGATGAGGCCCATGTGTTATTGATTCAGATTGAGGTCTTGGCAAGAATGTATAAAAAAGGTGAGTTTTCTTTGAGTTGGGAGAACAGGTTTGCATGTTCAGCATAGTTCACACCAGTGCATACTGAACCAGGATTTGTTGCGAGGTTGTTTCCACCGCCTGTGCTACAGAATCCCATGTTTCCTGCTACATTATAATTTATTCAATTAATCAAGCAGGACAGTGAAAGCAAATAATTATTTCCCACCCTGGGAAATTTTAA